GCCCAACCCTGCTCCTGGCGATCGACTGTCCTAATAATAATAGAATAATACCCAGCGATTTTCTAATATTATTTTTGCTTGGAATGCCCATCTCTAATATACAATGCTACAGTATAAATTAGGGCTGGGTTTTGACACAAATTTCACGATTCCATTAGATTCTCATTCACAAGTAGGTCTGGGCGATATAGCTAAAAAAATGTATCAACGATATAATGTTTCATATGGTTCCATATCAATAATTATTGACATTTTTTATAACCTTTTTTTAAAACAAAGAGCAATAGAAATTTTTTAAAAATGTAACCACTGTATTTTTAAATTAACCCAATTTATTGAGACAAACAACAAATATTTTTTGTTTTAACAATCAAACACAAAATAAAAATAAACAAATATCTCATTTCGAATGTTTTATATGCAGATTAAACAGGTCTTATGGAAACTTTTGGCTTGATTCCCGAAGCCACAGGAGGGCGCAATGAGCAAAATAATGCTGCGCATTAAATTGTCAACGCAAGGAAATTAACGGTCTATAAAAAAAACGTGCATTACGTCTAAATTAACTCATATAAATCAAGTATAATTTCGTAAATTGCATAAACAATTATGTACAGAACAGCATCATGTATTTATGCATTCCTTAATACAAAGAGCCGAATCGCCCATCACACAGATTGCCTTTAAAAACATATGAGACGCAGTGAAAAGGAATAAACATCCAGAAATTCGTGACGTATTTTCTAAAAGTTTAAACTGTTTTAACTTTGCATGGTGAGACGCGAGTGCAGCAGTCATATTTGTCCATCTAAAAAATGCACTGAATTTGCATTCGGTGTGAATGGCTTGGTTTCAGTTTTAACCTATTCAACATTTTCTACGCATTGAGCTACTATATTTCTCTAATATTTTGAATGAATAATGCAGCAACTGCACGTCTCGTGGTCTAGACTAACAAAACATTAAAATGCAACAACATCACTTACAGCATCATCACCGCATCTCGTGCTCCACTGATGACACTCCCTGACGCACACCTAACATTTGATTGTACTATTTTTGCATTCAAATGCTTATTTTAAATTCGACTTATATATTATTTTATTCACAATCTCCTCATCACAGGCAGGCACAGCACTCAATTCAGCATGTGTTCGTGTTTGTGTGTGCTGTC